AGAATCACCTCGAAGCCTTGCGGAAGTCTTTCTCCATGGCATCTCCAAACTCCTCCCACACCCAAGTTTTTGCCTCAGCAATCACCTGAGCCGCATGCCGCTTCGCCCGCCAATACCCATCGGCTGTTTCTGGAGTCTCACAGGCCAAAAAGGCCTGATGGGACTCCTCCTTCAGCTTGACGGCATCCCTCACCTAAGGTATCCACCAACGGGTTCGAGGGTTGCCACTGCGACAGGCACCAACAACCTTGCGGCCGCAGCTCCGATGAGCCGCCTTGGCAATGGAGGCACCGAACATGGTCCACTCAGACTCATTGTCCCCTACCTCCCCTGGAACGTGTTCAATGCTCTCCCGGAGATGGGAGTTAAAGCTCCGTCTCACAGGGGACTCTGCCAGACGTTCCCAAGGTCTGACCGGGTTCCTCCCCCACCACCGGAGCCAACTCGCCACCAGGTAGTGGTCAGTGGACAGCTCCGCACCTCTCCTCACCCGAGTGTCCAAGACATACGGCCGCAGATCCAATGATACGATGACAAAGTCGATCATCGAACTGCGGCCTAGTGTGTCCTGGTGCCAAGTACACATATGAACACCCTTATGCCTGAACATGCTGTTCATGATGGACAATCCGTGACCAGCACAGAAGTCCAACAACAGAACACCACTCGAGTTCAGATCGGGGGGCCGTTCATCCCAACCACACCCCTCCAGGTCTCACTGTCATTGCCCACGTGAGCGTTGAAGTCCCCCAGTAGAACAAGGGAGTACCCAGGAGGGCCACTCTCCAGTACCCCCTCTAAGGACTCCAACTCCAACTTGGAGTCCTATTAAATATATATACATCGGTGAATTGTTAGTGATTACCAGGATCTTTGTTGCTCAACATAACTTGAAAGGTTGCAGGTGACTGATTCACCATTTCTTCAAAAACATCTACATCAACTTCTGTATCAGACTGGTCATACACCTTCAGATCCTGCTGTCTGCCTTCTGGAATGTTGAATTTCAGGCACACTAGAGAAATATTAAAGAAGTGAAAATGAAAACATGTACTGCTGATAAACAAAGGGTGAAATAAGTAGAGTAACCCAACTAATTTTACAAAATGCCAGTGAGTTCAATCCACTACATTTTAATCCATGTTAATGCAAAGAAAAAATTACTTAATGCAAGATGGGTTTCTTATGCAAGAAAAAAGTAGTGAGATTATTTTACTAACATACTAGCCTTCTCTCACGAATGCATCAAATGTTAGGTCAGAAAGTTTCATGTACTTCTGCTCCCCACCAAACAAAACACGCAGTAGCATGGTCTGTTCGGAAAAAAAGATTAGCAAAAATAAACAACCATGACAGACACATTTTAATAGTTAATAAATGAGCTTCAAAGGTAATGTCATTTGAAAACTGAGTTCATATTCCTGATACACTTGAACATAATCTGTACAAGCAGTATGGCGCCTGTTAGCTGCTACATCCATGATGCTAACCAAGCTAACATGACTCGGTAGATGCTACGACCCCGAAGTACCCACGGAGCCTGGGGCTATGGCATAAGGCACAGTGATTAATACTATTACAATTTATAACACTGGCGTATCCTTACCTTGACAGCCTTCAGAAAAAAACTGAGCAAATATTTTGAGGTGGACAACTGGTCTAGCATAGGGCTATCCCTCGCCTCTTGCCCTAACACAACTTTCTCCCGCTACCCTGAATGTCAACAATGGAATAAAACGGGTACAAAAATGAGGAGACATGGAGGGGTTTTAAGTTACTCACCTTTTCTGTAGCACAACTCCGTTCAGAGTCCAAAATGGAAGTAGCCGTCTCCCAAACTTCAGAAAACTGTTGCTTCGTCTTCTTTCTTCCTCCTCCTCCTCTGTGCGGTTGCCAAAAATCTTTACTGGCGCGTTATTGACACTTGACAGAGTCAAAAGTTTCACTGCGTGAATGTAGCATTTTACTCTGACTTTTAACTCCAACGTCAGAGCCGATTTACACTCCATATAGTTATAAATACTCTATTTAGATTAAATTAGGTTTACACTGAAATATTAACACCACATCTTTTACTGTGGGGAATTTCGCCATCAAACATGCCAGGTTCCCTCTCATCATTGTCGGAGTCGGACTCGTTTCCAGGTGGCTGTTTGGCAGTGATGCAGCTTTAGTGAAGCTCAGACAGTTAAGGCCGATGCATCAGCCCAGGCATCCACCATCCATTGGTGGCGTAACTCGCCCGGCGCCGCCTCCTGTCTCAGTAAACTGTGTTCAGTCTGTCGTCCATCGCTCCCACGCCGCTCCCAACTTCTGTTTGAACGGCCTGTTTACACCGATGTCCAGCGGTGGGAGTTCTTCTGTTAATCCTCCCGGAATGACGGCAAACTCCGAATCAGTTTGCTTCGCTTCCTTTTCCACAGTAGCAGTGAGATGGGCGCGCATGGAGTCGCAGATGAACAGGGACGGTGATGCGTGGAAAAACCAATCTGGTTTTTACCGAGGCTATGCTGCAGAACTCGGACAACAATCACTGATTGGTTCATCGCTGCTGGCAATAAACCAGCAGCAATTGCTGCTGGTTTGGACATTACCAATCAGAGGAGTAATGTCCTCTGATTGGTTCATCGCTGCCAGCAAATGTACTGCACACTTTAAGTCTGTGTGTCACGGACAGATTTTGGAATTCAGTGCACACATAAGGCGCACCAGATTATAAGGTGCACTGCTGATTTTTGAGAAAATTTAAGGCTTTTAGGTGCCTTGTAGTCCAGAAAATACGGTAATTATTTTATTCTAGTGACATTTTATAAAGGAAAAATAAATAAAAAAACAATCTGAAAATGTGGAGTATTGCATGTTATTGTTATTGACGTATTTAAAAACGTATATAGTGATATCAGCCTGCTGGTTTCCGTAGCAACGAGTGATTTCAGTTTCCATTTCAGTCACTTTGAGAGCATGAAGGACGACGCCATCGTCTGCAACATCGGACACTTTGACTGCGAGATCGACATGAACTGGCTGAACAAGAACGCCGCGGAGCGCATCAACGTGAAGCCGCAGGTGGGCCGCCGTTCACCACTTCACCTTTAACCCGTTCACCACTTCACCTTTAACCCGTTCACCACCGCCCCTTTAACCCGTTCATGTCCAGACTCGTTTGTCTCGGTCTCTGCTGACGTGCGGATCTGTTATTTCTGCGTTTGGCCCCTTGAGGCGTTGCAGCCCAACTCGCCGTGTTGCCGCTGTGTCAGAAGGGGCGCAGACCAACCGCTGGCGGTTTGAGGCTCCGAACTCTCCAACTCTGAGAGACTCGGACTCGAACGCCATCGACACGCCGCCGGTCTCTTTATTTCAGAAAACATGGGACAAATTAAGACACCGGTTCGGTTCGGTCCGCTTTAACCCGACTCCGGTCTGCTTCAGTGAAACCTAATTGACCTCTGACCTCTGGTCCTCCAGACCTCGTTCTGGGTTTGGCTGAGTTGAACTCTGGTTCAGTTTGAATGTGAACACTAAAAGCAGGAAGTGGACTACAGCGCAGGGCATTCTGGGTAAATGCAACCAAAGCTAACATACTAGCGTAGCACTAGCAGGAGAAATGGCTCAAAAAATCCTACTACCGCTAAAATCCGACACCTAAATTTTAGTTTCCACTTCCAGGAAAACGAACTAAAATTCTCTTTACTGAAACGGTTAATCTCTGTGGTTTAATGGTAGTTTAACGGTTAATCTCTGTGGTTTAATGGTAGTTTAACGGTAGTTTAACGGTTAATCTCTGTGGTTTAACAGTAGTTTAACGGTAGTTTAACGGTTAATCTCTGTGGTTTAACGGCAGTTTAACGGTTAAACTCTGTGGTTTAACGGTAGTTTAACGGTTCCTCTTGGGCTGGTCGATATGAACTTTTATTTGTATGTCTTGTGCTGATAACCCTTCTTGCTTTTCTTTGTGCTGCAGCTTCTTGGCGCCATCAAAGCTCCACAAACAGAAACAGATTTTAAAAACTAACCTGCTTTTTGGGACCAGAGACACAAATCTGTTCCTCACTGAGCTTCACACGCTGACCGCGTTCCAGTGTTTCCATATTTATTGATGCTGTCGACTCCGTTACCTTTACCAAACGGTAACGTGACGATCCCAGCGGGACAGACTGAATTCTCCTGATGATCTGAGGCGGTTCTGCTCCTCAGGTGGACCGGTACCGGTTGAAAAATGGCCGCCACGTCATCGTGCTGGCGGAAGGCCGCCTGGTGAACCTGGGCTGTGCCATGGGACACCCGTCTTTCGTCATGAGCAACTCCTTCACCAACCAGGTGAGGAGGAGGAGCAGGAGGAGGAGGGGGAAGGCTGTGTTGGGTCGGTGGTTCTGACTGCTGTCGTTCTGCAGGTTCTGGCCCAGATCGAGTTGTGGACGAACACGTCCAAGTATCCGGTTGGAGTCTACTTCCTGCCCAAGAAGGTGAGCGGCCAATCAGAAGCGGAGGAACCGGCCCGATGTTTTCATCTAGATCAGGGGCCTCAGTCGGTTTGCCAGAGTCTGAGGCCGGGCCGCACAAACGATTCCACAAAAAGTATTGTAAAAATATCCTCACGTCATCATTTAAGTATTTCTCCAATACATGAACTGCATATGGAGGACCCTAAGAAATAAAAGCATAAATATATATTTA